TTTGAGTGGCAAAGGAACATGTACAAATTGTTATCTTCTAGTAATATTGAAGAGGCCATGTAAGAATTGTGTCCCTTCCCTGGTTATCATGGTACCTATTGTCCTTAAGAAAACGTTGCTTTTGCATCCTATAAGAGAAATCTTCAATCTGGAATCCCTAAAATGCCTTCAGGTATAGGTGCTTCCTTCGATATTTCTACAGGTGAACTCAAGCTCCCAGCTATCTAACTCACTTATTAATCTGAACCCAGCTAGGAATAAATTTATACTGACCCTCTTTCTAGTCATCAATTTATTGTTGCTGATGAAACATCAATAGAATAGGTTAATTTAGATGCTGATATAAAAGTTTTCAAAAACGAATTTGAACTTACTAATATCTGGCTTGATGCTACTCAAAACGGATAATGGCTTGGAGGTGAATATAGTTAATCTAAAGACTTAAATGATGTCTTCAATAGATTCTTCACAAATAATTAATATACATCTATTGCTTAATAGCCTAAAAATGTGATCAGAATGGCTTTCAAGACTGATAATTTGAAGCTTAATAGATTCGCTTAAAGAGCAATCGATGCATTACCAGAAGATTATTAAGTTGATGTTTACAATGAGTTCTTAAATGCTTGGGGAACTCATATTTCTGTTGATACTTTTGTTGGAGGTATGATTGAAAAATAAACAGTGTTTAAAGATTGTATTTTCTTCACTCCTTAATTCACTGGTGGCTACTCAGCTGAACAAGTAAATGAAGCTTTAAGAAATGAATTGTAGGGTAATCCAGCTGAAGGATTTTTCACTGCTAGAAGATAGGTAGCATTGGATCATAAATTTGGTGGTAATCCAGAAGATGTTGCTAATTGGGAATAGACAATCAGCTAAAATCCTGCTTTGTTAAAAATTAATAGATTTTTATCTTGGGATAACATGACTGCAAATCCTTAAGTTAAGGCAAATTTATAACAAGCTATCAATAATAGAATCGAATCAATGAGACAAAGACAATAGAGCTATTAAGACTAAGTAAGAGAATAAAGAAGAATTGAAAGAGTATAACCTAGAACTGCCTGGGCTATAAAGGA